AGGCAAGATTTGTTCTATGGCAAAATAGCTAAAGCAGGATAGCCACATATTTTAGCACTATTTTGTTTAAATCTTCAAAAAATTCTTCCCCTAATCTGATTGGAATTGTCTGGAATAAATATAAGATTCTAGGCAATACATTCATCTTAATTGTAGATATTCTCCCAATTGGTGATAATTGTACATTTTCCCATTTTATCAAGTCTGTTGCAATCTGTTGTTTAAGTTTAAGATAATTATCCTCCTTAAGTGTGCTACATCTTGGTGTTATGTGTATCCTTAAATACTTAATCTTATTTGTAACCTGGATCCCCAAAACTTCCTCCAATTCTTTCTTTCATCTTACTAACATGTTCTTTGCTAAAATCTTTGTTTTATCTTCATTTATTTTCAAACCTGCTACTTTCCCATACTCTTCTAACTTTTCTATCAGTTTAGGTGCTGACTCCAATGGATCCTCTAATATAAATACCAGGTCATCTGCAAAAGCTTGTAATTTATACTCTTCTTTTTTAATTTTCATTCCTTTTATTTCTTTTTCTTCTCTGATGTTTCTATTCAGCACTTCCAGTGTTAACACAAACAACAGAGGTGACAGTGGATAGCCTTGTCTAGTCCCTTTTCTTATATCTATAAAGTCTGTTAACTCTCCATTTATCATAACCTTTGCAGTTTGTTTACAATATATCGTTTCTATGGCTTGAGTAAATTTTTTTTACCAAAGCCCATTTGGTCCAATTGTAACAGCATAAAATGCCAATTCAAATTATCAAAGGCTTTTTGTGCATCTAAAAACATCAGAGCCATTTGTTTTTCGGGATGTGCCTCATAGTATTCCAGTGTATCTAAAATTATTTTCATATTATCTTTAATCTGTCTCTTCGGCAGAAATCCATTTTGATCAGGGTGAATAAAATTGTTTAAGTATCTTTTCAGTCTTCCTGCCAGAAGTGAAGCAAAAATGTTATAGTCTGAATTTAATAGTGATATTGGTCTGTAGTTTTTAACTTGCTGTGTGTCTGTGTCCTCTTTCGGTACAAGTGTGATATATGCTTCTGACCATGTTTTGGGTATTCTCTTCTTTGTCATAACTTCATTCATCACTTCTAATAAGTGAAGATTCAATGTTTCCTGGAATGTCTTATAAAATTCCACTGGCAAACCGCCCGGACCTGGTACTTTCCCAATGTTTTCCCTTTTTAAAGCTTCTGTTAATTCTATCATTGTTATGTTACTTTTTTAACATTATTTCAATATCTTTGGGTATCTGAGGCACTGTACTTTTTTAGCCAGAAATAAATAAAAGATTGTAGACAAAAACAATGTAAGCTTTTGTCTTTAAGGGGTACCAGCAATAAAAACTTCTGAAAGGTATGACTTGACTATAAAATTTGATAAACTTTCTTTGTTGCTTTAGAACTTTCTATGCTTTTCAAAACAACTATCCACCAAATCAGTTGAATGAATGTGAACAGCATAGCAATCAGCATTTGCAATCATGAAAAAGAAATTATTTTTGCAACTATGTACCTCAGAAAGCTGATAATATTACTAAAGCAAGATGAAGGCTGATAGGAAGGTAATGATCAAGCAAGTTGTATGATTATCAGCTTCTCAAATTTATATCTAGAAAAGGGATAATGGAGCATCAGAATATGACTGCCTAGTGTGTCAAAATAATTGGAATTGACCTTAATTATAGCATAAAAATGCTTTTGTATATATTTATCATGTTCCCATCACATTGCCTTCATCTCATTCTGAATCTAGGATGAATCCATGAATGGCAGGCCTGAATCATTCTTTGCTGTTTTGATATTAAAATTGTATTTATTGCCTTTATTCTAATGTGATCCAAAGACAGTCTTAAGGTTTACAAAAATGGTTAGCTGTTGTCAATCTTTACCTTGGAAGAAAATCAGAGTACTTTTGTGATTTTAAAGAAAGGCAAGTTAGGAATCATCAGCAAGGGAAGATGGATACTTTTCTTCTGACCCAACATTAAATAATGAATAAAGAGCACTGCAATTCAATGGTGGGAAAGGTTTTCTGTCTCAGTATGTTGTGCTGCAACAGGTTAACACTATGTAATATGTTATTGACAAGTTTATTGAAAAAAATGAAAATAACCTCACAGATGGTGGGGGGACTGGAAACCAAGTCCTCTGAGGAAAATTGCAAGGAATTGTGTATGTATAGCTTGCACAAGGGAAGACTGAAGAGAGATATGAAGCAATCTTCAGATATCTAAAGTGTTGTCAGAGACAATAAGGAATAGACTTGCTCTTTATTGCCTGGAGAGAAATGCTAATGGGAAGTATAACTACAGGGAAGTAGATTCAGGCTGGATGTTAAGAAAAGTTTCTTCATAATAACTGACGTTAGTCAGTTGAATAGGTTGCTTCCTAAGTGGTAAGTTCCCCATCACTATCCTGAATCAAGCAGAGGGTTGGATTCGATGACTTTTCAGGTCACATCCAATTCAGTGAGATGATATTTTTGTAAAAGAATAATCTGCTGAGCAATGAGAATAATTTAGCCAAAATCTAAAGAATGAAGTTCTCCTTTTTAAAGACTTAACAAATATAATAGATATGATATACCTGTGTAGCAATGCAGCGATACCTTCAAATTTGTACTGATAATGCCTTGTGTGTGAATAAATGTGGATTGTTGATTTACATACTCTCAAGCATCAGAGGCCATACTTAACCATTGCTGGTTTTGTTATTAAAGTTTTTTTATAATGTTTTAATAGAAGTTTTATCGACAGTATGTATGCATTTTTATTTGCAAAGTGCAGCTCAGTAACATATACAGATCACAGACTGAGGTTCAATAGTAATTTCTGTTAAACAAGCTGAGACTTTTTCTACTCTTAACTCTCCCTGATTCCTAATTTGATTTATAGGCTGATTATTATAATATGTATTCAAATATGGCTTTGATTATCTCCAATCAGCCAAGGTAAAAGCAAATTGCATTTATTCTAATTAGCACATGAATTTATCAGTCTAGGTGTATATAGTAGTATTTAATCTAATCTAATTTACTCAATTTAATCTCTTTCTTTCCACTTTTCTAATTTCAAGGTGGCAGCTTTTAGCCACAGAATTGTTAATTAATAACCTCCCTTTTTAAATTTTTATTTTTTCAGACTAGCAATTTATAATAATTTGACTTAAAAAAAGAATCATAGCAAGATTGCCTGTCTAAATGAATTCTTACAGATTTTCACACGTATTTCAAACAGTGGTGGGATTCAATTTTTTTTACTACCGGTTCTGTGGGTATGGATTGGTGGGCATGGCAGGGGAAGGATACTATAAAATCTCCAGTCAGAGGTGGTATTTTCCAGTTATCTGAACTACTCAAAATTTCCGTGATCAGTTCTCCAGAATTGGTCAGAACCTGTTGAATACCACCTCTGATTTCAAAGTGTTAATCAAAAATAAAAGGACAAAGCAGCATGAAATACAAACCTGAACTAAATGAAGCAATATTGAAATAGAGTAATAGGAAGTAGCATAAAAAAATATCTTGAAGCAGGAATCTAATGTAAGAAATCTATGTGTAGAACTTAATCTAAGTAACAAGTCATCTTGAGTAAAGAAATGAGCCTTCATATTTTTAGGAGAGAGCGTGCATTGATACTGAAGAGCATGTGTTGATACTGAACTTTGAGTGGAGTGACAACTTATACCCACATTTTGGGGGACTGGGAAACAATTCCTAAATTGCACCTCACAACTTGCCTTGGAACGTATAATGTTTAAATTTTATTAGTGTAATTTCAGCTGTATAGGAGAACCATTAATAATAAAATATATGTTTTAGTCAGTATATTCTTAATTTAATTTATATAGAACCAGACAATTAAAATAAAGGCATAACATTTACATGGTACGTTACTCTGTGTAGGTACTTTGTTCTGCATCTAACATGTGCATCAATACTAGAAGAAATTTTAATTGATGTATGCAAGATTATATAACTCCAGGTTTTCATCAGGACAGTGATATACTGGATCGGCGAAAACACTGCTTTGGAGTACAATCTGAAATGGGAGAGGATCTCTACTTCTCTGTGGAATTAGAATGTGATCTTATACTATGGGAAAAGGCCTTCCAATCAGCAACTTTTTTTGAAGTGGAAAGAATACAGGTAAGACATATGGGATGCTCAATTTAGATTTTTTTTTTAGCTATGTCATTATGTGATTGATGATAGTGCTAGTACAATTCTGATATGGTTTTGTTTTGTATTGTTCTTAAAGCTAGCTTTGGGATATTCTAATCATAAAGCTTCTAATTAGCTGGCCTTCTGATTAGCAAGCTAGTTGGATATGAGCTGGATGTTTAATAGATCCACATATCTGTTAGATGGATGTGTATTCGAAGGGTGTCCACTGACTGTTTTATCATCAATTGAAATAAATTATTAGAGGGAATAATGCCTTTGGAATTGACAATTGGCCTTGTATTTTTCAATATTTTTATTCATGACATATGAGGTAGAGGGAAGGCTTATAAAACTTGCAGATTATACAAAACTAAGTGAATTAGATAAAACTCTAGAAGACAGAGAGAATTAGAAGGAACTTCATGGGTTAGATAAGTGGCTGAAAACAGCAGAATTTAATTTAATAGGTTAAGAAGTTATTTACTGAGGGAAAAAAAGTAAAATGCAAAGCTGTATGATGGGAGACACTTAACTTTCTAGTGGTACATAAAAACTTTGTAAAAATCACAAATTGAATAAAATTTGGCACTATGACATGACTGTTAAAAAGGCAAACATAAGTTTAGATTGAGTGCCAGTTTGGTGTAGTGGCTAAATTATCAGGCTATAAACTAGAGGATTGTTAATTCTAATTTTGCCTTAGGCACAAAGCCAGCTGGATCTTGGGTCAGTCACTTTTTCTCAGTACTAGAAAGGTGGCAATGGGCAAACCACGTCTGCAAAACCCTGCCAAGAAAACTACAGGGACTTGTTCAAGCAGTTTCTGGGAATCAGATAAGATGAAAGAAAATAGATTGAAACAATGAAAATGAGATCAGCTAAGGTCAACCAGGAGTGGAATGAGTATTCCCTGTCATTTAGAAATAGGGAATAGGGAAATAGGGCATACCTGGTTGACCTTAGAGGATCCCAAAAAACTAAGCAGTTAAGCAAATTCCAGGGCTGTAAACTAGACTGGGAAATTAAGGGAAAAACAGAAATCAACACAGATTTTATTTCACATTGGTCAGACCCCCCCCCCCCCCATCCCCTCAGAGCGCTGAAGAAAGGCACTGTAGGTTAAAGGGACTATAAACTCCCTCAGGAGACACTGAGGGAATTAGAAAAGTTTATTCTCAAAAAATAGCTAACAAAGGAGGATACGATAATACTTTTCGAATACCCTGATGGGAAAAATACATAGAAGAAGGTACCCTTTTATCTCAGAGTGCCAGATATAGCATAATTATTTAGGTTACTGCAGGGCAATTAGTAAGTAGGAAAAACATTCTTAAATGTAAGAAATCTATAGGGGAAAAATTAAAAGGAATATGATGAGTTTCCCCTTCACTGGATATATTCAGAAAGTGAGCATGGCTGTTTTAATTTGGATTACTGTGCTAAGTAAGGGAATTGGGCTTGATGATTTAAATAACCCTTTCAGATCTCTACATTGTTAGTGTTATATTAATGACCTTTGTGTTAAAAAATATTTAAACCAAATACGTATTAGCTAGTTCTTGCATCCCAAGCATTCAGATGATGAATGCGAGAGTTTGGACTGTTTGATACTCTCAAACAAACCAAACGATAAGTTGTGCTATTAGCAGAGATTATGTGTTTTCTTCATTTTATTAGATTATACTGAGAACAGGAAAATAGACTGTTTAGCAGGACTTTTTATTTTCAGGAAAGTATTACAGGTGAAACTTGAAAAATTGGAATATCGTGCAAAAGTTCATTTATTTCAGTAATGCAACTTAAAAGGTGAAACTGATATATGAGATAGACTCATTACATGCAAAGCAAGATAGTTCAAGCCATGATTTGTCATAATTGTGATGACTATGGCTTACAGCTCATGAAAACCCCAAATCCACAATCTCAGAAAATTAGAATATTACATGCAATCAATAAAACAAGGATTGTACATAGAACAATATCGGACCTCTGAAAAGTATAAGCATGCATATGTACTCAGAACTTGGTTTGGGCCCCCTTTGCAGCAATTACTACCTCAACGCGGCGTGGCATGGAAGCTATCAGCCTGTGGCACTGCTGAGATGTTATGGAAGACCAGGATGCTTCAATAGCGGCCTTCAGCTCTTCTGCATTGTTCGGTCTCATGTCTCTCATCTTTCTCTTGGCAATTCCCCATAGATTCTCTATGGGGTTCAGGTCAGGTGAGTTTGCTGAACAATCAAGCACAGTAATCCCATGGTCACTGAACCAGGTTGTGGTGCTTTTGGCAGTGTGGGCAGGTGCCAAGTCTTGCTGGAAAATGAAGTCAGCATCCCCATAAAGCTCGTCTGCGGAAGGAAGCATGAAGTGCTCCAAAATCTCCTGGTAGGTGGCTGCATTGACCCTGGACTTAATGAAGCACAGTGGACCCACACCAGCAGATGACATGGCTCCCCAAATCAACACAGACTGTGGAAACTTCACACTGGACTTCAAGCATCTTGCAGTGTGTGCCTCTCCATTCTTCCTCCAGACTCTGGGTCCTTGGTTGCCAAATGAGATACAAAAGTTGCTCTCATCAGAAAAGAGGACTTTGGACCACTGAGTAACAGACCAGTTCTGTTTTTCTTTAGCTCAGGTAAGATGCTTCTGACGTTTCTTGTTCAGGAGCGGCTTGACAAGAAGAATACGACATATGAAGCCCATGTCCAGGATCCATCTGTGTGTGGTGGCTCTTGATGCACTGACTCCAGCCTCAGTCCACTCCTTGTGAAAGTCCCCAATACTTTTGAATGGCCTTTTCCTGACAATCCTCTCCAGGCTGCGGTCATCCCTGCTGTTTGTGCACCTTTTTCTTCCACACTTTCCCCTTCCACATAACTTTCTATTAATGTGCTTTGATACAGCACTTTGGGAACATCCAACTTCTTTTGCAATTACCTTTTGAGGCTTTCCCTCCTTATGGAGGGTGTCAATGATGGTTTTTTTTTTTGCACAATTGTCAGGTCAGCAGTCTTTCCCATGATTGTGCTTCCTACTGAACCAGACTGAGAGACCATTTAAAGGCTCAGGAACCCTTGGCAGGTGGCTTAATTAGCTGATTAGAATGGGACACTTTGAGCCTAGAATATTGAACCTTTTCCCAATATTCAAATTTTCTGACATTGTGGATTTGGGGTTTTCATGAGCTGTAAGCCATAATCATCTCAATTATGACAAATCACAGCTTGAACTATCTTCTTTTGCATGTAATGAGTCTATCTCATATATTAGGTTCACCTTTTAAGTTGCATTACTGAAATAAATGAACTTTTGCACGATATTCTAATTTTTCGAGTTTCACCTGTATGTGATAGATTTAAATCTCGGAAACTTACTGAAAGCTTACTGAATGACCTTGGGCAAGATATTATAAGGATAACTTACCTCACAAGATTGTTCTTGAACACAGTAATTGCTCTGAACTCATTATGTAACAGTAAAGCTCAAGACAATAAAAATGAATAAAAAGAGCAGACTTCTGGGAAACAGAAGTCACTGAATTGAATTGATTTTAGTGTATGGAAGGAAAGTAAACTTAAAGAGCCCATTTTTAAAATAGAAAGTTAAAAAAGCCTTCCAGGACCCACAGAAACCCTTTTAAAAATGCTCCCATTACAGAATAATGTCCTCTTCTTTACCTAAACTTTTGAGAAGTATAGCCTATGCTCCAAGGATATGGGATGTATTTGTGTGGTCAATATTCTGCACAAAAGTATTGTCAAATCATATCTGGAAGCATCACTAAGAAAAATTTGCCCAACCTAATCAATATATTTCATAGACATTTTTGTTTAATATGCATTCAGCCAATATTATGTCATATATGCCTTACCTACATTTGATGATTGTTTTTTATGGTATGTGTGTGTTTAATTTTGACTATATATGTGGATTTGCTTTTCTTGTTTTGAGCAGTAGGGAGGGATATGGCTCCTACTGATCTGATTCTTCTTGGTAAACTGTGCATCTGGCAGATCATTAAAGCCATAAATAACCATGAATAACTGAAGGATGGTTTCCATGGATACAATCCTACTGGCTTACATAAACAGAATGAATAAGAGAATTGTTTGATTGGTAAAATATCTTACTTTTTTCTCTCCACATAAATTTGCAAGTGGTGTTGCAAAAAAGTGTGTATATGTGTGTCTAAATAAATAAATAAGTGAAGAATCTTCGTCAAAGTGCAAAGTACAAATATTTTTGTATGAATTCAGATATAAATAGTTATAATAGTTCTGTGCATCTCAAATATGAAAAGATACCTCAACATTCTTCTAGCTAAGTCATTATAGTTTGGTTCATAGCAAAAAGGCAATGAAACCATCAAATCAAATTGTTATTATGGTCAAAGACCAGCATACTATGAAACCAATATAGTTCATAGTATTGAATTTTTAAATGATATATCATTCTAATCCTGCTATGACTTTCTATTTTGCATTCTTACTAGGAAAACAAGAAAAACTTGTTTTGATTTACCCTGTAGACCTTTACACACCTTTAATATTCAAATTACCTAACCATTACATCTTTTAATTGACATTGATTGCTTTTTTAATAGTGCCTACGTTTTTTTATTTCAGAAAAGAAGTTCATTGAGCATTATAATATATTATTAATTCCAAATTTTTACATTTCTTATTAAATCAATTCAAATTGCAAATCTTGATCATTAAAAAATCATGCTTTAGGCTCTGTTCTTCAAGCAGAACAATTCACAGACCCAATTTTAAGATTCTATATTTTTGCTAATGAGTACAAGTGACAAAATAAGTTACCGTATTTGCCGGCGTATAAGACGACCCGGCGTATAAGACGACCCCCCCCCACCACCAGAAACGCCCTCCAGAAATCCCCGGGGCTGCAGCGGCAGGGCGGAGTGCCAGGGGCCGTGGGAAGAGCAGGAAGGCTGCAGCCTCGGGCGGAGCGAGGCGAGCGGGATGAAGCGGAAGCGACGCAGGGGATCCGGGAAGCCAGAGGCGCCTTCGCTGCGTCCAACAAGCATCCGAAAGCCGGCAGTGGATATACCGGCGTATAAGACGACCCCCCCACTTGGAGGCATGTTTTTCGGGGCAAAAAAGTCATCTTATACGCCGGCAAATACGGTACCTCTCATATAGAAAATCACTTCGTTGAATTTTTTATGGCTTTGCAGTGCATCAAATAGTAATAAAAATTAAAAAATCATTCTGTATGGCAAAATATTTATTGTAAATCAATCAATTAATGACATTTGTTTAGCCACCCATCTTAAAACCAAACCCAGGAATAAAAGTAATATATACTGCTAAAACAAAAACAAAATAGAAAATAGAAAAACCTGGTGCTGCAACTACACTTCATTGATGCAATCCATTACATTCTCATTCTTCCCTGCTTATCTACCAGGCATGTGGAAAGGACAAGGTCTCTGTGGAAGATTAAAAGGGTGAACATCTGGATATCTGTTCCAGGGACTACAACAGAAAAGGCTCACTTCTGAGGTCATAGAAGATGGCAATGTTTAAGGGAACTCTATCCATTCTGGCGGGATGGGCAAATACTTTCAGTGGTCCATCAAATAACCTGGTCCCATGCACACCACATAATAGTTTAAAGAAGGTAGTCATCACCATGAATTGGACTCTGATATTGAAAAGACCTCTGGTGTTATGTACTGTCTTGGCAGCATTCTTATTTTAATTTTGCAAAAGATTAATTAATATAAGCAGAGGAACTGTATTTGAAATGTAGCCTAAGATTAAAAGCCATAAAGTAAGAGGCTGAAAACTGACCTTTTGCCATTTGAGCTATCATGTACATTAAATTCTTTCCACCAATTTGTAATAATTGCTCAAAGCCATTATAATATTTAACCTTTCAAAGTTTTCTGGTAGGAATTGTGCTTGGCACTGATAGACTTGTAGGTGAATAATGTACTCACAGAAATAATGTATTGCACAATTGAGATGCCAGTGTATTTAGAAAAGAACTTTCTCATTTATTAAGCATAGGATAGAAAAAGTATCACCTTCATTACATAATTTAGATAACAATACGAATCCATCACCTATACAAAATCTTCAAAGGAAAAGGCACTTGTCAAATTGAAGAAGACTTCTGGGAAGATAAGATGACAACTATTTTGATTGAAAGCAACTTAAATTCCTTTTCTAGCATCTGTGGCATTGTATCAGTTTAAATCAGGATTAGGAGGAGCCATAAAATATTGAGAGTTCAAGTGATAAATCCATTGTTTATTTCTTAGATAGGCAAACTTTTGAAAATAATGGTATATTGCAAAGTGAAGATATTCGAGATACTAAATGTATTACTTGGCTATGTAATTTACCTTAGGAAAGCACATATTGAAAAGATGTACGCCAAGAAAATATTTTATGATTTGGGAAAAACTATAGGGTTGTCTGAGATTATCCATTTGTTTTATAAATATCTGCCAAACTAAGACATGAATCAATAAGTAATCAATTTGATTAAGAAGAATAAAAGAGAATTCATGTGAAAGCAATTTCAACCTCCCTTTGCTACTAAGCAACTTATTATACAGTATGTTTTATACAGACTTGATTAGCAATTATTGTAGCCTCAGTATAGAAATGTGCTAGTAATTTAATGTTGTGAATGCTATGCCTTGTAAATCTATAATTTTTTTTATATTAGTCTAGCATGTTCCAAGTTATCTTTTAGTAAAAGGCATATATTTTTCCACATATAGGTCAAGTACAAGCCACGGTGCTTGCTTATACCCAATTCACTTCCAGGCCTTCTTAAAAAGCTTGGTCAGTTGTCAGAAACAAACTATTCCAAAGAAGCAGGCCTGCAAACAACAAGGCTTCACTTTTGGATATATACAAGGGCTAGAATGAAAATGCTGCTAGATGTCAAGTGAGGCAAGGCATAGTTTTTTTTAAATCCAAACCTGTAGGCACCATTTATAGAGCCATGACAAGTGCATGAATTATACATAGTCCTTAATATCTGAGTTAAATCTTATTCTTTATCTTGCTCAGTAACAGATATAGTGTAAACATCATGGAAAATCCTTTTCAAGCAAAATGTCTATGCAGATTCTCAAGTCATCCAGGTCATGGTTGTCCCAAAGGTGCTTTTTCAAAAGGCAACTGGATTTTGTATTTTTTTGAAGATGTTCACTTCCTATCAGAACTGAAGAAGCTTTTTGGATGAGAAGCAAAATGTCTTTAAGGAAAAACAAAGTCCGGTTGCCTTTTGAAAAAGCATCTTTGGTCCTTCTCAAGCAATTATTGTGATGCCAACTGGGAAATAATTCCATCCTATGCATTGGTCAACAGAGTTATTATAAAAAATGAATGACATCCTTTGCATTCCTCTCTAACTTCTTTCTTGACTCAGAAGATAAGCATTGATTAGAAAGTTAAAAACAAAACAAAACAACAAAAATTAAAGAATACAACAATGGATTGTTTCATATTGTTGCTAATAAAACTGTATGATCCGTTTATAGAATGACCTGCTCACTTTTTTGGGGGGAGGGCACAGGATCATCTTCCTGGCCATGGTAAGAAATGAATGAAGACAGATATATGCGTACCAGGATAATGTTGCAGGATCCAGTCTGGCTTGGTCACTGGAACCAGAGGTTTTGTCTTCTGAGCTTTTGGACTCATGCTCAAGCCCATCCTCAGGGAACTTCTGTCTATCAAAATGGGTGTGAAAAGTACCCCAAGGATGGGCTCCAGCATGAGTCTAAAAGGTTGGAAGACTAAACCTCTGGTTCCGGTGACCGACTCAAATTGAATCCTGAGAAATGTTCATGCTATCTGGCAGACAAAGTCCATGGGGTTGCTCAGGATGAAATAGCACATTAAAGATGGTTTCATGTTTTGCAAAGCCAATGATTGCAGTTAAGAACAATTAGCCAACAAGGAGATGGACTCCTTCACCATTTCTGGGGGAAAGAAATGAGATTGCTCACATTGCCCTACATCTGATTGCAAGCATTTTATTGGACTCATTTGTAAGATATATACTAATGTTCAGATTTTTCTTTTAACCACAATTTTACAAATTGAATATAGTCAGTGAAAGGCCATTTAATATGTTGCATTGTTTCCATTTTTCCAGTGTAAGACATATGCCTGTGTCTTGGAGAGTCATCTTATGGGGCTTACCATAGACTTTGGCATGGGCTTTGTATGCTTTGATGCTGCAACAAAGGTAAGTACAAGAGATTTCTATCAGTGATCCAATTCCAAGAATCACATAATGGAGTTATTTCAGTGATTGATGAATGGAAATAAATAAGAAAATGGTGAATAATGGACATGTGATGTTATAGTAATTTATACTTGGAGAAGGCTCTTACCAAAAGGTGCTAAGGTGAAACATATTGGAGAAAGTATTTCTGGTGAGAATATCATGTGTCAGGGAGAGAAAAAATTTAAAAAAAAATGATTGATTGAAAAAAAAAGATTATAAAATCAAATACAGGTCTTTTTTAAAAAAAATAGAATTGTGAAATTATGTTTTGCAATCTCAACATCTAACTTATTCTAGTAAAAAATAAGCCTTCTGAGACTATGACCTATAGACCTCTTCCATGTCTGATTTTTTTTAAAAAAAGAAGCAAAGCCTATCATCAGCACTGGATTTTATTTTCTTCTGCCATAGCAGAATATTTGAATAAGTAGAAAACAAGAGATAAAATGCAAAAAGTGATCCCAGCTAAAAGTATGTGCTTTGGACACAAATACTATAAAGTATCCAATGCAGACATCTACTCTTCTCTGGTCTTCTCCCCATTCTTTCTTGACTGCTGACTATATTCGTAATCCTACTGCCACATTCTCCATAACCCAATGCAATGAATCCTGGGTTATACAAAACTTCTATGCTGAAAGAACAGATACTGCATCCTAATCAGAGTACTGATGACCCTAAGATGAATTAAAGAGGAAAAACATAGAAGATTGCATTCATGCTGAATCACTAGGAGTTTGAAATGGACTGGCTTTGATTTGTAATTTGGTCAACTAAATTGAGCTACATTTCTCATCTTGCTGATTATTCCAGTTTACCAAGATCAGTTGCAAATCTATTATATAGTCATGTATACTTTGCTTTAAAATTGTATTACAATAATGGGATGAAAACTACTGCATGCAAAGCTAATATTTTTTAATTACAGTGTTCTACTTACATACAAGTTACTATTCCAAGAAGCTATTTGTAAGCCCATTTTCTTCATAAGTCAAACCAACATAAAAAACACCTCATACAGAATACCCTCAAAGTAGTAGTGAGCACCTCAGCTTCTTCTCACCCTTGCTCTTGGGGAATGGGTCTAAGTTGACATTCTCTCAGTGATGGGGGAGCCTCCTTCAGATCTGGAACACCTCTCTGGCATTGATCCGTTGCAGCTTTGGCCACTGGCACCAGAGTGGAGAAATCATCCCATAGGCCATTGGAACTCTTACTAAGGCCTGCCAGCAAGGCAGTGAGGTGCCACCACCCAACACAACTCTCAACTCACAGGCAGAGAAATTAGTTATATGCTGGTTAGTTTTGACCTATGAACAATGGTGGGGAGCCCCACACTACACCATTCTCCAGGGGGATAAGCGGGGGTTAATTTGGTGGAGGCTTCACAATAGCACGAGACCCATGGCTCCAGGTCCTATTAGCCATTCTGTCCCATTTTCCTGCCAAAAGCCTCTCTGCGGAGTTCAGAATAAATGCGGGTTTGGACCATTCTTCTGGGTAGTCTCAGATGGTGTCACTCAACTTTTTTTTCTTGTCCATCTGATTAATCACAGACTCCATAGGCTGACTCTCCCAGGTTGCTGTTCATGCCCCCCCCCCCGGCAATCCTCTTCCTTCCTGAGGAACTTGAATACTCTTTTCAGGTGGTCTGTACCAACCTCCACTCTCTTTAGGTGTAGGACGCAGCCATCCTTGATGGGAGGCTTGTGCTGCCAAGTGTCTATATGCAGTGCACCAAAAATCAATCCTTTCCTGCTTTTTTCCTGACTTCCATGACCCTCTAGATTGGACTTACAAATAGGTTTGTTCATATTGGAAAAAGTTTGCAACTCAAAAGTTTGTTAAATAGAGATTATACTGGCTCAGGGAAACAAAATCTGAGCAGGTGCCTTTTCTTAACAATTAATTATTCTGACAACAGTGATAACTTCTAAGGATTTCAGACTAAAGTGCCTAGAATAGTTCCCTCTCTCTACCCTAACTTAGAACAAATGACACAAGCTGAAATAGCTTTCTATTTATAGATTGCTCTCAGGATTAGGTGATATTGTTCTAATCTACTGTAATTGTTATAGCAAAAAAAAACCACTCTCCACATTAGTCACAAGTCAGGTTGTAGCTCTGCAATGGTAATAGCAAAGCAAAGAAGAGCTTATGTTTTATAAATAAAGCCAAATATACATGTCCCAAGTTAATGTTGCAGGATCCAATCTGGGTCAGTCATCGGGACCAGAGATTTAGTCTTCCAAGCTTTGGGACTCATGCTGGAGCCCATCTTCAGGGAAATTCTTTCTCACCAAAATGTCACATTCTGGTAAGAGAAAAGTTAACCTAAGGATGGGTTATCCTCTGGCCCTAGTGACTAATCCAAATTGGATCCTGCAGCTTATATTTTGTGTCTTGTTGTGCTTCTTCTTTCCTATAAAATGAAAACCAATAACCAGAAACTGTTTTCTTTGCTAAAATCCAGCTGATATAAAACTGTATGAACAGAGGATATTAATGTAGTTATGGGTTCATAATTATATCATTGTAGCAGAGAAAACTTAACACAACCACATTAATCAAAATACCTCTTGTGGTCCGCCAGTGGCCTGTGGAGCTGGCAACAGAGTCAGACAGTGGGGAGGAATATGGGCCAGTCCTGGAGTCTGGGGAGGACAAGGGATCTGTATCCAACATAGAGGTGGGGCCAGGGCCATCTGAAAATTATGTACTGACTCCAGAGCCTCCAGAATCTGACATCAATGAGGCAGAAGAACAAGGGAAGCCTGTTACCAGTGCATGCTTGCGCAGAGCTGCCAGAAGACAAGAACAGTTAAGACAAAAGGGGCGACTTGGGAGTAAGGCTTGGAGATGATTGGCCCCTCCCATAAGACATAAAGGAGGAGCAAAGGGACATGAGCCTTTGCAGAAAGCAACTTTGTTCGTTCTGGTCGGTTTAAACTCCGAAGCTCTGTGTTGACTTTGTGCTCCAATTGGCCTTGTTCAGCTAATTGGCAATTTAGTCGTTGGCAGCATTTCAAGGGAGATAAACGTGGGTGCTTATTAGCCTTATCCTGAAAAGACTCTGGCAGACTTCTGTTGGACAAACTGTTTGGGACTCATTACAGGCTGTGAATGAATATAATTCACAGCCGTTGAAATAAAAAGAGGGCTTTTGGGACTAAGCATGTGATTGTTACTGTCTCAGAAAGCCTTGATTAGAACAATACCCCACTAGCACAATGTATTGATCAAAGAGAAATACCAGCGGCCCTAGCAGACAGTAACCATTAGATTCAGATTCAGTCCTTGAAATACTTTTTCTAGCCTTGTGGCAACATACTTTGTTACTCACCTGAAGCAAGTAATTTGTTTTGACAAGTCCACGACATACCATCAACTCTCACATTACCATGATTACTGCAAGCTTGATCAGTGCTTTTCCGCTGATTTTTCCATCACAGAAACTTGCTTCAGGTCTTGTCAGGCAATACTACTAATTCTTCCAAACTACTTACCTGACCCAAGGACTAAATCTGATTTAGAACTATCCATGGGGCACACCCTGTATTCCATTACAACAGATGTGTGTGCATTTGTGTCAGATTAAGTTTTTTTTAGAGCTGACTTTTAAGAATTTCATTTTCCATATAGAAACTGCATATTTGGTAACTGCTTCTGTCAAATCACTCAGCAAAGTATTTTTCTAAAGGAATAAAACTCAAAATGGTCCAATTCTACTCTCCCAGGGGACAATGGACTCTTGAAACAAGTACCAGAAATAGGCCTAATACTATCTACAAGATAACTAAATACTACCTACCAGCCGCCGCCCCCAAAAAGGCTAGTGTGATCTATAATTTTAGTAACATTTAAACTTTATAAACAGAGCTAAATGTGTTATTTGCAGCTGAATGAGGACAGAACACAATCAACAGTAATGGGTTTTCTTTTGCACAGGTCACAAACAACACAACCATAGCAGGAATGCATTTCTCTATCTGCTAGAATTCTTTTCAGTTAATTTCTTACCACCTAATAAGTATTCAAGAATACAGATGAAAATTCTTGTTTTAAATCCTGTTTTATGTTTGAAGCTATTGATTGTTTGTTTGATTGATTGATTGATTGGCATATCATACATGGACTTGTTTTAGTTGCCATATATTTTGAGAGCCAGGAAAGTCTACAGAGTAGTCTGGTTAACAACAGTTTGTTTAGTTCACACTGTCGCGCTATCCACAGTATGCCATAAGGAGGCGAAATAACACCCTAATAATATAATAATAATGTGATTTTTGTTAGAGAACACTGTTCATTAAAAAAAATGCAGGTTTAGCTTTTTTGGAACTCTATTTAAACAATTAAAAGTTTTCCCAATTTTTGCTACTATAATTTTGATATTATAAATCCTGTCTAAAGGGTCCAAAAGTTATGAATTATTGTACGTATGTTTCATTTTCATTATAGCAGTTATGATTTAGATTTGTATTCAGATTCAGCTCTTAAAATGCAAAGATCTGAATCTAAATACAGATCTAAACAGGGGTGGGATTCTACCAGTTTGGACCAGATTGGGAAAAATGCACGATCACTGAACTAGTTGTTATACCAGTGGAATCCCATCCCTGGATCTATAATGAAAATGAAACATATGTACAATAATTCATAGATGTGTATTTTATTTGATCTCTTAATAATTTTAACCATGCAACATTACTCTTATTTGTTAATTTTTGTATTGTATTTATTGCTGTTCTTGTTTGTTACATATTTCTCTTTTGATTTGTAAAAAAACATTATCAATTTATTTTTCATGCATTTATATCTGTTCTATTTTTTCATGCATTTCCATCTAAACAATATTAACTTCTTCCCAAAGTTCAATAATTAATCTCTTCAACCAACTTTTCTAATGAACATGGCTTTATTCCCCTTAGACATTAAATCCATCATTTTTCTTAATATTT